TACTATATTTGGGCAAAAATGGCCGCTCCCAGACTCAGTGATTGTGACGAAAAATATAGTTTTTATGTTTTTACTTATTAATGCTAAATTCAATAAATCACTGCAAACTTTTAGGTATAAATAATGACCCATTGGTTATTCCTTGGTGACAGGATTTTTCCTTAAAATAGGAACTATTATCAGAATTTATTCGTTCTTACATTAGTTTTGATTTATTGAACTATCTTTTCAAAAAAACATATTTCTTTTATACATTTGCAATCACACTAAGCAATTTTTTCCAACTTTTTTATATTCATTCCTTCATAATTCATCCCAGTTTACAGCAGAAATTTCTACTTAAGTATGATGATAAATGTATGAAAAATGCTGCAGAGGACAAAACTTGGAAGGAGAGAGGAAAGGCTGGAACATGTTCCCCCCTCATGGTAAACAATCCCTAGGACGCCAGAATAAGAGAATAATCCAGGACTCACACATGGAGTGTTGACAGACTGGAGGAGAGTAAAGTTCATGTGATGAAACCTTCAGAAAATCAATCCCATAAAGAGGATTTTAATTCTAAGCCTCTAAGAGAAGATAATAAAACAGACATCTTAAAATTGTCCTGCCAATCACTGCAACCAAAAAATATACAGTAAGTGTAAGAACAACAGCTCTACGAGAATTTGAACATAACCTTGTCATTAATTTTTAGAGAAACCACAAAAAACAGAAGATGTTGGATGTTATAGACTCAAAGAATTCAAGTATGGCATTTAGATTTTACTTTAAAATGTGAATTTCTCTCATTTCCTGTCAGATGTTTAAACTCTAGATTCCCTAATTACTATAAATAAATGCACAAAATGAATAAACCCTCTCAGTTTTTTCATAACATCTGCTGTTGCTTTTTTTCCTTCTATATGCCGCAGAAAAAGCTGCACTTTTTTAGACCTCATTCACACTTCTAATGCAACGTGTTTACACTTGACTGACTCACCAATGGGCATGTCTTCATATATGAGGAGGTATGTTGAAAAAAAGTAGTTCAGGAAGCGTGGTGGCTGATTGGAGCCTGTGGAGAAGAAAGAAAAAAACATTATTCACAGACGATAAATAAAACAACACAGATGCATCTTTGACAGCAGTAGGTTTGGTCAGAGCGTCCAGGCTGACCCCATCTCTGATCACTACAAAACCGAATAGACATATTTAGGATCAGACTTTGGAGGAAACTAAGCTTTTTGTTCTAAAATCAAAGGCAGGCAGTGGAAGATGACAATCTCTGGCTAAAGTTTTATAAAACTACAGTTGGATTCCTTTAGAAATTTT